CAACTACAGACGCTAACAACTACAGACGCTAACAACTACAGACGTTAACAACTACAGACCCTGACAACTACAGACGCTAACAACTACAGACATTAACAACTACAGACGCTAACAACTACAAACGCTAACAACTACAGACGCTGACAACTACAGACGCTAACAACTACAGACGCTAACAGCTACAGATGCTAACAGCTACAGATGTTAACAGCTACATATGTTAACAGCTACAGATGCTAACAGCTACAGATGTTAACAGCTACAGATGCTAACAGATACAGATACTAACAGCTACAGATACTAATAGCTACAGATGTTAACAGCTACATATGTTAACAGCTACAGATGCTAACAGCTACAGATGTTAACAGCTACAGATGCTAACAGATACAGATACTAACAGCTACAGATACTAATAGCTACAGATGTTAACAGCTACAGACGCTGACAACTACAGACGCTGACAACTACAGATGCCAACAACTACAGATACTAACAACTACAGAGGCTAACAACTACAGACACTAACACCTACAGATGTTAACAGCTACAGAAACTAATAGCTATAGACGCTAACAACTACAGACGCTAACAGCTACAGATACTAATAGCTACAGATGTTAACAGCTACAGATAATAACAACTACAGATGCTAACAGCTACAGATGTTAACAGCTACAGATACTAATAGCTACAGATGTTAACAGTTACAGATTCTAATAGCTACAGATGCTAACAACCACAGACACTAACAGCTACAGATGTTAACAGCTACAGATACTAACTACAGACGCTAACAACTACAGACACTAACAGCTACAGACGCTAACAACTACAGACGCTAAAAACTACAGACGCTGACAACTACAGATGCTAACAGCTACAGATGTTAAAAGCTACAGATACTAATAGCTACAGATACTAATAGCTACAGATGCTAACAACCACAGACACTAACAGCTACAGATGTTAACAGCTACAGATACTAACTACAGACGCTAACAACTACAGACGCTAACAACTACCGACGCTAACAGCTACAGATGCTGACAACTACAGATACTAACAACTACAGACACTAACAGCTACAGATGTTAACAGCTACAGAAACTAACAACTACAGACGCTAAAAATTACAGACCCTAACAACTACAGACGCTAACAACTACCGACGCTAACAGCTACAGATGCTGACAACTACAGATACTAACAACTACCGACGCTAACAGCTACAGATGTTAACAGCTACAGAAACTAACAACTACAGACGCTAAAAATTACAGACCCTAACAACTACAGACGCTAACAGTTACAGACATTAACAACTAGAAACGCTAACAACTACAGACGCTAAAAACTACAGACTCTAACAACTACAGACGCTAACAGCTACAGATGCTAACAGCTACACATGCTAACAGACTGAACTAACTTCCTCTCCACAGACAATAAGCTGCAGCGTTACAAGCCTCTGGCAGCAGCAGCTTGGAACTAAATCACAGAATAAAGTATTTGACTCACGAGAAGTCTTTTTTCATCAGTAATTGAAATAAATCACGGAGCTAAATCCAGACGAAGCTTCTCATCACGAAGGAAAACAAACAGGCCGAGCTGTGACGTCATGTCCACATATTTACCAGCAGCCACCACCAGGGGGCTTCGTCTCTACAAACAACAGGAACCTGGATTACATGTAAAATAGGATCTAAAGAGTTTCCCCAAAGAGTAAAAGAAACATTTCTAATAACTACTACATAAACTTTTCTGCAAAACAAACAAACAAACAAAATTATAAAGACAAAAACTATATTATAAAGACGGTGCATTTTGATCAACTTCATTAAACAACAACTCTGTTACACGACATTTTCCAGGACTCTCTTGTAAATGAGTCCTCCTGGTTCAACTAGTGATGCTACTTTAATTTGTAGGTTGCATTTAGGTTCATCAATAGAGCTCTAATCAAAGAACTGAATGACTGAAAGGTTTTTATTATTAGATTTTACTGACAGACATTGTTCCTACAGACCCGACCACAACCAGTGAGTCAGAACACTTTGGACCTTTAACACCTGGACATGTCTCCAGTCCACCAAAGTGGACTGTGTGAGAGGTGGGGGACACCTGGACATGTCTCCACCAAAGAGACACAGAGACAACCATTCACTCTCTCACTCACACCTCGGGACAGTTTAGTTACAACGAGCCTAACATGCATGTTCTTGGTGTACAGAAGAAAAGCCTTGTGTGCACGGGGAGAACATGTAAACTCCACATAGTAAGGCTGGGAGGTGCACCTGCTCTAATCACTACCACCCAGTTTATTCTGACATGACAAAATCAAACATGGCTACAAATGATGTTGAAAACATCTGGAGAGCACAAATGGTCATTTCAGTTCAGTCTGCACACATGAAACTGTTCATGAAGAAAACATGTGGAACAAACCACAAACAGCACGGTGGCTCAGTGGTTAGTGCTGGAGCCTCACAGGTAGAGATCCATCAGCAGAGCTGTTGTGTTGTTGTGAATCAGAGCTTCAGCTGCAGCTGCTCTGTCCAAATGGAGAGTCCAAACGCTTCATGGAGCTCATTTCTCCGTCCACGTCTTCATTTTCATGCTGCTTCAGTCTTCCTGCTTTACTTCCTGTCTCTTCACTCACATTCTTGCTGCTGTCATGTGATCACTCTGCAGGATCCATCACTTCAACATTATTGATCAGAGAAGTCACGAGAGAGGAGAGAAAAAGCTGCAGAGATTCACTGCAAACTTTACACTTGTTGTCACAATGGCTGCTGTCTGTCTGTTAGCAAAATATCTCATGAACCACTGGATGAGTTTGAGTGAAACTTGCAGAAAGTAATCGTTGGATGTTCGTCTACAACTGATTAGTTTTTGGAGTCAGCTGAAGTTACAATGGCTGCCACAGTTAACTGAACTTAAAAACAT